AATACTATTAGGATGAATTAGCAGTGCATGTTGTTTGAGATTAAAAGTTAAAGGAACATATTCATTTTCAGAACAGACCTACATAAAGCCTTAAAAGAAACCAACCAACAGGGCTTCGGTGAGAGAGATGTGAGAAAATACACCATAGACGTGCTGAAGTGTCTACAGATGCTCAGAAAGAAGAGGATCATCCATGGTGACCTCAAAGCTTTGTTTCAGAAACATCTTGAATAGTTACAGGCACATAATGTGCACCATTATGATCAAGATTCAAAGTGGTGTCTGATGAGTTTCTGAGCTGCAGATGTGGATGAATTATTGAAGTGGAAGAATCCTTTATTATCAGCATAACATTTAAAACTGCAAACTGGCTTATCATAAACTGAGGAACCCATGAGCCTTTATTAAGGACTCACTCACATTCCAATAAGCCATAAGATGTGTATTTGCAAATGCTGATACTGTAAGTTGTTATTAAATAGGCTTTGGTTTAGATGTTCTTTTCAGAAGGTGGTGAAAACACAGCTTTATTAAAGGCTTATTACTGATCTATAAACCTATAATAAATTATGTGTAAAATAATAATTATTAATCACTAATTGTTACTGCATTTTCAGTACAAACCCATACACCATATTTGTGCCTCACTGGGAATTCCCCAAATGTTTTTCAATAAAACTTGCTCAGGCGAACATGTAGTATAGTTTAGAAAGTACTATAGAAACATTTTGTTTATGCCAATTCTGCTTTATTATTTTTTATGCACCACCGGCAGCGGACAGGCCACCGGTTCCAACCCCTGGTTCAAACACAGCGTTGGAACGCCGACCACTTGGAGGAGTAAGAGGACTGAGTAGAGGCGGCTCTCGACCCCTGGATGGTGCAAACCACCTCACGGAGAGACCTAGACCCTCCAGGCGCCGCCTTTCAGCGGCCGGACCCACAGGGGCTGGCCAAGAAGGGGACAACTCCTGATCGCGCCCCCCTCCTGAGAGAGGGCATCCTCCCTGAAAACTGTAGGTGGTCCAGAAGGCACGGGATCAGCCAAACTGGTGGAAAAGCATACAGCAGCGAAGGCGTCCACCCCTAGTGGGGGGGGGGGGACGTCCCGCAGGCTCAGTGAAAACCACAGGGCTCACTGAGCATTTTTCCGGTTGGCAAACAGATCCACCCCTGCCCCGTCGAACCGGAGCCAGATCTGGGCCACCAGATTGAGATGGAGGCGACACTCGTCTAGGCGACACGATGTCCGCCCCTCTGTTCAACACACCAGGGATGTACTCCGCTCTGATGGAGAGCAGATGAGTGCGCCCACAGGAGCAGCCGCATTGGCCAGCACGAGCTGGTCCCGCAGCAGAGGGGCGAAGTGCCGGATCACCTTCCACACCGTGAGGAGCTCCAGCCCACGTGAAGCGTAATGACCGCTTAGAGGGCTCATATGACACAGCCTGCCTTCTGTGAACCAAGGGGGAACCCCTGGACGCACAGAAGGACCGTGCCAGTGATGCTGTGATTATGCATGAGCTCGCAGGCGGGCACCGCCAGGGGAGTGTGCGTAACAGCATCACACACTGCCCGGCAGATTTCTTTTTCAGAAATATCTGTACAGGGTGTGTATGTGTTGTCCACACAAAGCGAAATATCCACTGTCGTGGGCTCATACACAGTTTCTGTTGGGAGGGGTGTGTGAAGGGACCTCTGATCGTGAACTGAAAGCATACTGCTTCAGGCTGCAGGTTAGCCACTTGGCTAACGGCAGCTGGCTCACACAGTGTGAAAAATGTGTGCTTGGTGTGGCTGATTCGACTGAGACAGGCACAGACAGCGTTTGTTCAACAACTTCCACAAAAGCAACAAGATTTCACACAGCTTTTTTTCAGCCCATAACTTACCAGTGGTCCGCTCTGACCGAAAAGGGTCAGTCAGCAGCAGTAAAACCGGTTGCTAGATGTCATTAGCCGCAGCTACTGGGGTGCAACGTGGACATATGAGGTCTCCCTGGTCGGCTGATAGACCGCATGTCAGCTACACGTTAGCTTGACGGTAGCATCCTTGTAGCCTAACGATCGCTTGCCTTGCTGCGGCAACATAGCAATGTCGAGGCCGGCGTCACCGGATGTTAGAACGGGGGAAGGTAAACCCAATAGCGATAGCCTAAGAGGCCGAAGCCTATACGAAATAGAACCCTCCCGTTTTTTTCCCTGTGCTTTCCAGGCTCACAGCAGTGTGGTTAATGTTATGGTATTGTTCGAGGCTACGCTGCTGACATTCATGATTGTAGATTTATTTCTGAAACAGCAGCCACCTGTTGCTAAATTAGCCACAAACGCCATGTTTATCAGTAGAGGAGGCTACCATTAATGAGCGATGTAGTGTCTCCAGTAACAGTCGGCATGTCAGAAAAGATTAAACCAAAGGGGACAGAGCTGAACAAGTATCTAACAGACGGTTGCAGGTCCTCCTTGTAGACCGTCTTGTAGTATTAGATTAATTCAAGGGCAGCGTTTCCTCTGCGTCACTGTATCATACAGCCAGAAGTGTGTTAGGAAATTGTTTCTGCGTTGGATAAAATTGCAGATGATAAACTAGATGTAGAAAGTAGTCATCGTGGCAGATTATATGTAAGGTAATAACTACTGCATGACAATATATATAATTAGTTGCTTATGTAGGAGAGCCCTGTTTATCATTATTATGATAGCAATGACATGAGAGATGATATATGGTGTTATTATTATTTTTATTAATAGTACTATATTGGTATTTTTTATAGTTTGTTTCGCTGGAGCCCACATTACACATACTATTTAATTTAATGTTCATTAGTAGTAGTACTCATAACAAAATCTGATATTTTAAAAATGTTTTCTGTAGTTTTATACATTCTACAAAGTACTATTTCTAACAATAACAAAGTTTCTTTTTAAACTGACTTTGTCATGGTTTCTTGGTGAGGTCTCAACATAACAAATGTTGGATAATCTTTGTTTATGTTACGCGTTTCTTAAAATAAGGGGGAAAAAAATATCGGCCCATATATCGGCTATCAGATTTTAAAGTCCTCAAATATCTAAATCGGACTTAAAAATGCCATATTTGTCGGGTTCTAGAAAATAGTAATACCATTCTCATGTCTCTATGTTAAAAATCTGACAAGAGGAAACATCTAACTTGGCTCTTTCCAAAATCCTCTCACCAGGCACCTCTAAAAGTTCATATTCAAGCAACAGATATTAGAGTTGTATAATACTTCTAATTTATATAGTAATAATGTACAGCAGGCGTGCTGGGATTTGAGTTGCTAAACCCACTGAAATAATTTTTGACATCCCATAGAAGTATGTACACCACACATATCATATCAGCAGTGATATAGTAAAAACACATTTTGTATTTGGTATGTTTGGAAGGTTTCTAAAAATGTTTAAAAAGTGTTGCTGTTTTGAGCAACATAAGTCTGTGGGGTTAAAGATGTTAAGAGATTAAATATCTGAACTGACCTTTTTTCCCTCCACCGCTTCAGGACAGCACATCCTCGGAGAAACTTCATCCATTATCGTAGGAACTTCCACAAAGTGCTTCTGCCTGATGCTTTGTTTGAAGCTGAAAGCATGTCTAATTGTTGCTCTCACTGTATGAGCTGAAACAACATGCCCACAACCCAACTGCAGCAAAACATCATTCAGCATTGATCATTAGTTGATTTAAAGGGAATGTACTTCATCTAGCATTTATTATTCATGAGCATCCTTTACTCGTGACATGTGGGCTGTTAAGTGAACAAAATAGAACCTTATTAAACATTTGACCTAACATGCAGTTTTGTCATGAAAACCTTTTTGTCTTTTCTTTTGGATAGTTAAATGGCAGTCCAGTGATTTTACATGTTAACATAAATTTACTAGTTATAGTGAATACAATTGAATAATGGCTTCTGTGGTTCTGGGGGAGTTTTGTCTAGTCTGAGAAAATGAACCTTGATTATGTCATCAGGGTTATCTCTAAATGGGCTGGAGACTTTAAATATCATAAATCCTGCTTTACCAACTGTGGGTGTGGCGTTTAAAACACTTGGCATTACCAGGCAGGGAGGGACTGACATAAGAAGCTATTGAGGTGCATTTTGGGACGTGTAGGATTCTCTGTTTTTGGAGTTTCAGACTCAGCTGTACTCATTTTGACTAGTTTTTATTTGCCACATGCAAATCTTTCACATTTATAAAATTAAAATAGCTGGATTGATCCTTTAAAATATATATGTTGTTATGCCTGCGATGGACTGGCGACCTGTCCAGGCTGTACCATGTCAGCTGGGATTGGCTCCAGCCTTCCCTGCACGCAGGATAAGCAGTTGACAATGGATGGATGGATGGATGTTGTTATGCATAATGAATTTTCTTGTGATGCGGTTTCACAAAAAATGTAAAATGTAAAACATAGAACAGTACTGTAATAACGAGGGATACTAAGATGAAAGTATTTTATATAATATCTGCATGATTATTTAATTAGGAAGACATAATGTTTGAGCTGCTCCCAGAATCCTCTTTACCATGATTTCCTCATGGGTTATATGATTTACCATTCTTCTACCTCCATCTAGTGGAGTGATATGGTAAGTACATTTCCTGTTTGGGTTTCAGACTCAAATGACCATGCAATCAACAAGGGGTAGACTTTTTCCAACAAAAATATATAGAGGAATAAATAAATGCAACTGGACAGTTGTTTCATACAAATTTCTGCATCTTTTCCTGTTTTAGTGCTACAGGGGTTAAAATGATGACAATTTCAAAATTAACAATTGTTTTTCCCTCAGATGTTTTTCTTTTCTCCTGACCTCACTGTGTCACAATGTCACTTTTGTTATATTCCAAAAAAAGGACTGCCAGACACAGACCCCGGTGCCTGCATCTTCTGAAACATGCAGTTCAACATGGTGTAATAGCACAAGCAGTTCTCATAAAATTTTCTCGGTGAAAGCGAGTCCAATGACGTCATGATTTTCACAGTTACATTTTTTATTGTAAAGGTGGTTTCTTAGAAAATTGCCATGTGATACAGAGACAAAGAAAGAAACAAATCTACAGAAAATCCTTTGGTGATGACATTCTTATTATAACAGAAAAGAAAACTGCAACACAATCTGCTAGGTAATATTAAAAAAAGATTATACAGATCACACTCATCAAGGTAACACTATGAAAAGTGCAATGAAAACAATACATAAAAACAGTGTGTTGTAACCAAGGCCCCCAGTAACAGTCTTCTGTATGCTGAGCTGTCAGTTTACAGTTTGTAATACTGTGGAAATCTCTGCAATGTTTTCCATCAACCTCTTTTGCAGCAAACTCTCTGAACCAACAAAGGCAAATACAGTCATTTAGCTATCTGTTTTAAGACAACATCTACGGCAGAGAAAGCGAAATGTCCAATCAAAAAGAATCATCTTTGCACATGCTAAAGTAAGATCTTCTGACAGAGCGAGAGCTATCGCAGGTTTAATGCTACATCAGCTGAAACGACAAATAAACAGCAGTACAGTATATAAAGACTACTCTTAACAGTATAAAACATCTCCATTTAAATGTCTGTTTATTAGGGAAAGTGGTTTTTAGTACTTACATAGTAGTGTCATTATAAGTGTTGTGGTTAGATATACAGTACATCCACAAGTCTTTAAAGACTTCCTGTATGAGCATCTATGTCTTGCAAAAAAAATTCTACATCTTCAGCTTATGCCTTTTCTCAATTAGGTGACAGTTGCCATTTTAAACTTTTTCATACAAGGGTTCAAAGTTTGATTAGTACAACTTTTGAACGTTGCTCTGCACTTTATGTTGGGGACGGTGCTTCCAGTGATGTAGTGGTATCTTGATGTGTTTTTATTTCATGCTATTTCATACTTCTACTCTACTACTCAGAGGGAAACAGTGTAACATACTGTATGCTGAGCTTATAAAATATGATGCTCTGTTATGGATTACACGAAGCAACGGATTATAAAATTGTTCAAATTAGCTCCAGCACTTTGTACATTACTTTAAGTACAAATGGCTAATAATACATCTGTACTTCAACTTAAGTACCTTATTCAACGCAGGACTTTTACTTGTAATGGAGATCTGAACACTTCCTCCGCCACTGATCAACCCATAGGTGCTGTGGCCGCCGGTGCAACGCTGTTAACTAACATTGTGTCATCGTCTCTTTCTAGAGCTGTTCTCCCTGTAGCTCTTAACTGTTGTGAATGTCCTCGCTGTCAAATTGTTTTCCTGTTTAATACTGCGCCTTGCTGTGTTTGCTTCATATTTGTAGTTGTGTGTGCCCACTTAGCAAGCTACTAGTGTTTTAACAAAAATCCTCCATATCATGAAGTACATGGATTATGAAATGACAACAAGGGAGTGGACTTTTGTTCTCAGAGTTTGTCCTTAATGCGCTTCTTCCCAGGCTTGGTGCTGCTCTAAGAGTTGCTTAAGTTGCCTGCCTTTAAGGCTAAAGTCAGGGAACAAAAATCCCCCAGAGCAGAGGTGGGTGTATGATGTGAGTATTTTTCTCAGAAAATATGAGCAGATTCCGGGGAAATACCAGGATCTCTTCCCTAACCGTATTTCATACCCCAACGTCCAAAACTACTGAAAATACACAAAAAATGTTTCAATGGCAAAGCGACTGTAGTTTCTTTCTTCTACAATCCCTGAAAAGCTGATTTTATTTTTTGCAGGACACAGAAATAACTCTCTAATTCTTCCATTGTGTTCTAAAGTAAAAGTCAGCCCTGTTAACTAAATACCTACAATGGCTTCACTAAACAGCACAGTATCATCTTCTGCTTTTTCCCTCCTTTCTTCTCCCCTCCAGCCGACTTACCTAAACTCATCTCCTTTTCCCAAAATTTCAAACTAACCCATCATCTCACCCTCACCTCACATCCCTGTACACAAAAAGTTAATCCCTATCGTCATCTTTAACAAATAAACCCATATTTTCACACATTGCGTATTTAACCCGCTGTTCCCCTCCTCTGTAGCTCAGTAGTGCCCCCTAGCAGGGATGAACGTTACAGGCACGGATCTCCTTCAGGTTCTTACAACTCTCCATCAGAGAGGCTTTAGCTCTTTTCTTCACCATCATTGAACGTTCCTGGATCCCCCCTCCACATGGTTTGGTACAGTCCGTCCAGCTGGTCCACGGCTTCCTCTTGCAACCTGCAGGAAGAAACAGTAGCATGTCAACTCGGGTCTCGTTAATCGCTTATTATGACACTAAAACAGATTCTTTCCACCATTCTTTCGTCCACCTCTCTCGTCCTTTTTTTTTGTACTTTTTTTGCACTTCCTGAGCTTGCATTTCTTCCTCTGGATGCTCTCGGGACAAGGTCTGCCTCCGAACTGTGGCTCCAGTTTGATCATACGGGTCCGAATGGTGTGCCCTTTACCGCAGGACTTGTTGCACTCAGACCACTCAGACCACTCAGACATCATGCAGTCGACAGCTGGAAGGAGGAACAGAAGGAGGGGAACAAGAGGATATGTCAGTAAAGGGGAGGCAGACAATTAAATGCCAGATTGATATGCAAATAACAAATATAAGGCCAGGAAAACATTTTGTAGCATATTTCTTCCATTGATTGATAAACTCAAGATGACGTTTAGCAGTCTGAGTTCAGTTGTGCACTTGCCAGCTCCCAGTCACTTCTCTGCCCTTCACTCTAAATGTCGTTCCGTCACTGAACACTCAGTGACGTCTGTGACATTGACCCAGCTAAACATTGGGCTGATGAGGTCAGCTTACCCAGTTCAGTTCCTCTGGACAGTGTGTGATCAAGCGATATGGAGCGCTGGGCAGACACTGCTTTTTTTTTTCTGCAGTTTTCTATCGCAGTACTCTCAGTCAACCCCATAATTTTAGCCACAGCATGAGAAATACTATTCCAGTAAAACAAGTCCACTAAAATTTATAATAGATTTCTTGCAGCAGCCATGTTGGAAATTGGACTGTGCAACTGCACAAAGAGACCCGACCAAAATTTCTGACCTGACAGAAATCCAACCAGTCCTCTGACAGCTAGATCATAGATAGTAGATTGTACAGACAGTTAAGCAAACCTTGTGGCCATTATCAAACTGCACATCAAATGACAACCAATTCTAAACAATTTGAAAATTAGGCAGGGGTTCAAATCGGGCTTCATCCATACAGTGCCTGCCTGGTTTGTGCATATATGGGCATTTAAGATTCATTTCTAGCACATTTCCAGTTATCTGCATTGGCCAATCTAATACATGCAAACACACAATCCTGGTGGGTTCCTTTTTAACGTGAACAGCATATTTCTACTGTTTTCCTTGCGATCGTCTCCGAAGATAAAATGATTGCCGCAATAATAACTTCACAGAGAAAACGCTGTCTGAGTTTATTATAAACCATTGCGCAGTGTTCTGGCATCTGAAGAGACTTTGTATTTCATCATCTCAGCGGCACCTTAGACAACATGCTCCTACCATCACAGCTGTTTTAATGCAGGGCTGTTTTCAGTCTGAATCCCTGCTAATTCATTATTCTCCATTCTCACGTCTGCTCAATAGCAAGTGTTTACCATTTTCAATCCTCTGCTCCCCCTCACTCTATAAGTTACCAAGGTCTGAGGGAAAGTGAAGGGGGCATACTAAATAATTACTGAAATGCAACATGGATATGGAGAATAAATCTTGGTCAATGGCCATGGAAATAGGAAAGGCATGATTTATGGGGGCTAAGTGTGGCAGGGCCACTGTGATACGCCCTGGAGGATGCCATGTTGATACCCAGATTAACACAGGTGCTTTGTGAAGGTAAAAGAAAATGTTTTTTGTAAGATTCTTTTGTAATTTTGGCCATTTCTATTAGTAAACAGCATTTTTTTACCAGTATAATTGTGAAGATCCAGGGAAGCAGCAACATTGTAGACCAGAGTCCATTAGATTAGATTGGAAAACTTTGTTAATACCCAGAAGGGAAATTAGTTCAGTCACTTGTGAAAAGTGATAAATTACAAAGGAGACAGAAAGGTCAGAGCAGACAATATATAAAAAATAATAAAGTACCACATACCAAGAGTACATGTGTAGCAGGGGAGCCTAGCCACTAAATAAATACACTTTTAAAAACAATAGAATTAATATGACCAATTCATAAACACAATGCTAAACATAAGGCATGCACCTGAAAATGGGAACAATAAAACATGCAATAGTTATGAAATGAGACCTCAGAATTAACACTAAATAGAACGCATATGAAAAAAAAGCAGGAAACAGGCCAGCCTCGGGGCAGTTAGGGCTTGCAAAGCTGTCAGATGATCGGACTGGTTGTTATTAATTATTCATTTAAAAAATGTAAAAAAAGAAAAAGAAAAAAAAAGTTTTTTACCTGGCCGATCCTGCAACCACTTCCTGACCTTTACTTGCCGTTCTGGACTCCAACAGTGTCAACACATACTTTCTGAAACTGTTAGAAATGAGGGCCAAACCTACTTACATCAGACCCAGCTGGAACACATCTTTAACGCAGGGCACAGAAAACAGCTCTGTATGAAAGCAGTTTTGTACTTTGTTACTTACGGCACTCGGGCAGCATGCACTTCTCTGTCTGCTCCAGCTCCTCGGTGCACTCTGCAGGATCAGACTTCAGCATCCTCTGACGAGTCCGTACGCCCCGCCCACACGTCACACTACACTCACTCCACTCAGACCAGGGTGACAGCATGCAAGGGATGGTATCTGCAAACACACACAAGCACAAGAATTCAAACACAAAAACCACAATAGCATCAAAATGAAAGGAAATAAACATTCTAAAAATAAACAACTTACATTCAATTTTTCAAAGTAAAAGCATGCCCTTAAAGTTCTGAAATTAAAAGTGTACTCATTGTGCCCTTTCATACTTACTAGATACGTACGTCTAGAATTCTGTTGTATTATAATATTGTTTTATATTTTAACGTGTTTTAAAATTAAAAGTAACTAAGAATTATAGGTGTGACAAAGATGCAGTGGATTAGAAAGTAAAACTTTTTTTCTCTGAACTGAAGTAGAAGTAAAACGTAGCATCAGATGGAAATACTTGAGTAAATGTACTTACCACAGTACTGTACACGGGCTCATAGTTAGAATACAGGAAAATACTGTGTTTTAAATCTAGTCATTAGAATATATATATTTCATTAACTTATGATAATATAAGCATACTAAGCAACCATAAGCACACGTGAATGTTTATATCTGAACATATGGCCACTTGTGGTGAATAATATAAAAGTCTCCAGATAAAGTGAAGCTCTGATAATTTAATATCTGTTACACAAGTTTCGAAAATAAAATAAAACTGCACTTCACTTCTTACATTTGTAGAGGTGAACACAACTCACCACTCATTAGACAGTTTGTTGATTCCTGTGTGAAAAACAGCTGGCTGAAATTATAGGCACTGTTGATTTGGCCACATCATGGATAAAAAATGAAATTAGAATATTTTAAAATTGAGGAACTGGTTGAGTGCACTTAAATTCAAACATACCCGCTCAAACACGCAGTGATATATAAAGAAAGACTCACAGCATTCATCGTTGACGACGCACTTGTCCGTCTCCTCAGTGTGGAGCTGGCAGAGCGAGCCGTCCTCAGGATACTGCTTGACATATCGCTCTCTAGACCTCATCCCCATCCCACAGGACACACTGCAGGCCGACCAGCTGATCCACTCCGACATCATACACGTTGATGGCTCTGTCCACCAGGAAAAGAGAAAAACAAGAAGTCTACCTTGCAACAGATATCATGAAAGAACATCTTGACATTTTATAGTTTATTTTTCATATCTCTTGTTATAATAAGAACAATTCTGCATTTGTCCTCGAGCTCTTGGTTTCTTTGCAGGTGCAGTTGCCTTGTTGCTATTCCTCATTGCAACCAGTACATAAGTGAGTCCACTGCTGGAGTTGACTATTTATTTCAATGTGTAATATAACCAACTTATGTTTGGTCAAATAATTTCGGCTGCCACTGCAAAAGTTCTGTGTTAGGTGCACTTTGAAATTAAACCACACGTCAGGACATATTCCACTGTTCCAGCAGAGGTAATAAAAAGACAGGTGATGTGACTATACTATGTTTGGGGTCAACTTGCCTTCTTTCAGAAGGGCAACATGTGTAGACATACAAAGAGACTGAAAAGGTTAAAGGTAAGATTTAGCTGCAGAAAAGCACCTTGGAGGTGATAGAGATTCGGGATTTGCCTGAAAAGTTATTTTACTATGAAGAGGCTCTCAACTAAATCTGTTGACTTCTACCCAGTGGTAATGGTAATGGTAACAGCCGGAGGAATTCTCTACATGATGTTAGAGAATTCGATACTTCAGTGGTTCCTCACCTTTCCTATAAAAGGAAAAACATACTGGTATCCCAGAAGTCTTTGCTCCAGCAATGTTTAAAAGAGCATGCATGATTTAGAAATGTCTAGGCAGACAAACTGACAAACAAGCAAATTGTTGTACAATGGCCAACAAATAACACAAATCATGTGAGTATTAAATTTTTTGTTTATGACAGGGTTGATATTCTGCTGTTTGTGATACAGTGATTGGAAAATTGTTCTTTCATCATTGCGTAGGTTGGTTTCTCTTATTGTTTCTCCTTCCCACCTTTCTTGGCCCTATGCTAGGCCCAAAATTACACCCCTCTGATGCAGAGTGGCCCTGCAGTCCCCTTTCAATAACAAATAATAATAGCTTTTATTAAAATTAAACAGAGCACACATTAGGATGTTGGGTGTCTTTTAAGAGGCAATTTTAACTTTGCTGATTCATATTTCCCTCTATCTGTTACTAACAGGGCTTTTAATAAGCTTACTGCCCTCCACCCCCTACTGATGCACAGCAATGCCCACAGACACAATCTATAATTTCAACAGTGGCCAGTTTTTAATCCATCTTGTTGTTTTATGTTTATTTTTATTTATTAAGTTTTGGAGACCCCGCGACCCTGTACGCAGGATAAGCGGTTGACGATGGATGGATGGAAGTTTTGGAGATATTTCTGCTGATGAAGCTTTTTTTCTCTGTTCCTGTTACACAAACTGGTGAGTCACATTTTAATTTGTTTAGCAGCTGCTTGCTTTTTTTTATTCAGATTTTAATCATTCTGGATGTTTAAAGCTGTGTTTTATAATTATTTTATTACACACAGCCCGCGGCAGTGTTATTGATATTTCTATAGTAAAACAATTTAGGGAGATGTTAAGCAGCTGCAGGTGTATTAGCACTCCCATTGTTGTTGGCTGTGTTTTATCAGAGATCCAACCACAGTCATAAGCTTATAGTTTCTGTAGTTATATAGTTTCTGAGTGTGTGATGTTGGCCTGATGCTGACTTTATTACTTATTTAATGTGATTTCACATTATTGAACTCTTATTCTACTCTTACTCTTACAGTAGTAGAGTAGTAGTACACAGTTACAATTTTTTCATACTGAGATACTCAGATCCGGATAATATTTTTCCATAAACATAGTGCACATTTCCAACAATTGGGTGTTCAGTGTCTTTCTGATGAATACAGTAGGAGAAGCCACCAACCCAGTGATTAATTGCCAAATCTGTGCTACCACCTGAGCCACAACTTCTACAGTACAAAGTTGCAATGGTATGGAGATAAAAGAAAGACTAATTCATTATTGAATAATAATTTTAATTAGTACATAGAAGAATTACTGTATAAACAACTTCTTAAATAAATTTTAAAAGCCATTTATTTATTTCTGTATTTCTTAATTTTTGTATCTGTATGTTAAGAAGGTAAGTTGTTCTAGTCTCTCTCTTAAGCCTGATTTATACTTCTGCATCTTTCTGCAAGTACACACCAAAACGCTAGTGGCGGTAGCGTTATAGTGTCCACTGTGTTGACTTCTGCCAGCCGAGCCAGCATGAATGGGGGTATAAAATGATAAATGTGCAGCTCTCCTAGACTAGACTCCTAGACTAAATAGCATCTTTTCTTTATGATCAGCTATATTTGCTTTTAAGTGTTTTAATTACAGCATTTATTTATGTGCTTATTTATTTATCAATGAATAAGTCATTATCATTTTTTTGTCCTCCATACATTGAGGATATGGTGAGGAATTTGTGAAAATACATGAAATAGATGTGATGTGGGAGGCAGCCTGTCCTCTTCAGAAAAACGACCAAACAGGATGTTTATGCAGCATGTTATTACAAACCATGTTTACATGAATTGTGGCAGTGACCTCTAGTGGCTGGACGGTAGCAAATGAGGTGATATATAAATAGGGAGAAAGTCCACATTGGGAGGTGGATTGGTAGAGGGACTGGTTAAACCAACATAGTCTTTCACGCAGGAGAGCTGCTTTCGAGACCCTAGTGAAACCAAGTAAATAGTGAGTTATTTTGATTTTTAAGACTTCCGTCACGTGACTTATGTGACTTTTGTCATGGGCTTAACACGAGTTCCTTCACCGTGATATGCATCATGACTTACTTAATGTAGTTAAGGTCTGTTGGACTAGAATGGGAAACACTTATATGTGTCCTTTTGGGAGGCATGGATAAAACAACCTATTTTGTTGTTTAGGTTTGCGGACTTGTTGGTGGGAGGACACCCATGTGAAAGCATGTAGGACGCTTGGTACTTATCAGCTTTATCAACCAACTCAGAGCTCCCAGAATGAGTTTTTTCAGCTTTAGTAGCTTTTGAAGAACACTTTAGCAGGCATGACTCCTCACAGGAATACTTGAACCCAGGTCCTCCAGTTACAGGACACTCTCCTACACATCACACTACAATTATCTCTAGCTGCTGTTTAGATTACAGTCTATTAAATCATCTCAAAGTCGAAGGTGCTCTTCCTCAGAAACTGCTTCAACTCTCTTTTAATAAGGCAAGTTGCCCGAAGGACAGTCCTTTTCACAAGGTGGGCTGAGAGAGTGAAAGTCAGTATGTATGACCCCAGCTTGTTTCAGCTGAAAAGAGAACTGCAGCTTCTTAGCCTTAACAAGGCTCCACTCTGGTGTATTTTATCACTATTAACTAACTAGGATGGCGCTTCAAGATCTCCCTATTCTTCACTTACAGAGAGTCATTGACGAGTCTAACTGCCCTTTACTGCCGTCTCGCTCTCCTTCAAACACCTATTCTGAGAGTGTAGTCCTGGTACAGATAGTATATTAAAGTTAGAAAAGGGGGAGTCTGTCAAGAGTTGGCGCAAACAGACCTTATAACAGGATTTTATTTAGAAATGACAGATGAACTTTGAACAACTTGGCATGGGTTTTCTTTTACTCTCAACACACTTTCTGCCTTCTAGCAAACTGTGAACAGCATTGCTTACCAGCTGTGGCCTAATAAAGCAGAACTAAGTGAATCATTAATAAAAGATACAGGTGTCTCCAGCTCGGATGAGGCATCTAGAGAGCCAAAGTGTTTTCCAGGAATATTAATCATCCTGGGCATCGGCCACCATCCTCCTGCCCTTCCGTGAACCCCACAATTATCAATCTCCCACAGCATGCTAGCAGAGCGCTAAATGAAAACAAAGGAGAGGTGGTCAGGAACAAAACGCTGTCCGTGTTTCTGTCTGATAATCGATAAGAGGAGCAGTGAAGGGTGTGCGTGTGCGTGTGTGTGTGAGGCACTCCTTCAGCCTTGAACTGCTTCACTCATCTGGTAACTGTTGGACATCCTGGGAGTGAGGGGAAGACAGACGCTGACTGTGCTGCCTCTCAGCATTTGTTCCAAACTGACAACTTCACTGGAAATTGGACAAAAGCAAAGGTGTTTTGTGCTTGTGCGTGTGTTTGTTGAGGGATCAGGAGTTGTTACTTGCAGCAAAAGAGCATCAAACTGACTGCTTTGATGGAAATCAGACAGAAAAGTTACTCCTTTGACAACAAATGAGATAAATTGAGAGAAGGAGGAAAAGCTGACGCTAATTTGCTTAAAACACATCTGTCATCAGCTTTGATACTTAGATTGCCCTGAACCAAGAATCATCTCCCATCTTAAATATATTTGCGCGTTTGCATCTTCACTTTGTTTCTGTATCTTAATGAGATTCCTCAACATACACAGTCCTCCCGTTGTTCTTATTATCTTTAACGTAACATTGAAAGCACGGTGCGTTGATTTCTTTTAGTCAAAGACAAATGCGATTAAATCCTGGTTTAAACATCGTGGATGCGGGACGATGCTCAGCATTAACAGCTAATCCACATAATCTGTTATGTTTCAGTGAAGTAATTAGGGTATCCAATCACCAGTGTTTACACTGTGTGATTAGGGATTTACTGCATTTTGTGACATATCCTCTTGATGTAACCATATCAACTCAACTCAAGGGAGACAGATATTTGCAGGCTTCACGTCTTTTACTGACGGGATCTGCTTTCACAGTCTCCAGATCTAATCATCGAGCAGCCACCCATTTCCTTCTGTTTTACCTGTTTCTTCACACACACTGAATAATCATTCACAATAATAACCCCAATTGTCATGTAATGGCTGCACAATTAAATTTCTCGATAAAAGCAAAGCCATAAAATATAAATGAGGCAGCAGCTTTGTGTTTTCGCTACAGATTCCATCAGTTAAGCCAAAATTGTTTTGAGTCAGGATGAGATAAACACCTCGCCTTTAATCTGCTTATTATTTTGAGGTTTCACTGATCGCCCCTCTTGTTGATAGGAAGTGAACGCCCCAACTCTGAAAGGATTACAGTGAAAGAAACGCAATCTTTATTTTTTGATCTGTATTTGTGTAATGAAGTGCTGCAGAGACAAGGATATCAGTGTGTTTATATTCATGCAAAACAATTACATTGTTTGACTTTTTGGAGGTCAAAGGAATTTACGCTAAAGTCACATAGCATCAAAAGAGCTCAATGAGTTCAGAAGCAAAGCAACAATTACCCTGAAACAAAGTGCCTGTTAGTGTTTGTGTGTATGTACATACTGTGTAGTACGGCCACATACAGGTGCCTTATGAAAAGTTCATTGTGAGCACCAGAACCTGACAGAGATTAAAGACTCAGGAAACCTTTGCAGGTGTTCTTCTCAGGTCGACGTTTTAGTATTATAAATTCTTTATTCTAAAATTCAAATTTTGAGCATTTTGAAATACTAGAGTTTTGATTTCTGTGAGCTGTAAGATATAATCATCAAGATTGAATCAAAAAAAAGAAACTTAAAATATATAACTAGAATACGTGACTTTTTTAATTAAATTACAGAGGAAAAATAACTTTTCCACAATATTAAAATTTTTCAAGATGCACCTGTACTGTAAGAAAGAAGGTTTGATGAGTGTGTATCCTGTATACTCTAAAGAACAAGACCATGAGGGCTACAGTATTTTGTAATTACATCATGGGTGCAACATTTTACCTCACCACAATTTATTTAGAGGAGTATAAGAAAGTATTTTCTGCTGCAGAACTTTGAATATTGGTTGAAGAGAACACACTTTTTACTGCTGACATGTATTCATAACGCAAGAGGAAGGCTGCGTGTGACATATATTAGTTAAAGGGTCTTTTGTTGTCAGCTCAGCAAAAAGATCAGTGATTGACTGGGATATGAAAAGACTCCTTTATCTACATCATTTCTGTAAAAGGATTAAAAAATAGCACAGCAAGCTAACTTAATAAAGTGGCTTTAATTATATCACTGCACTGAAGAGTCCTGCGCAAAGACACAGTAATAATAGGGAATTTACAACAATCACACTGAATCGGACCTGCTGTGAGCTTTTAAAAGAAAACAAAAGTAGTTCAGGCAGGATGCCACCGTGGGAAGCAGAAAAGCTAAAATCACAAAGAGAAAAAAAAAGTCTGTATCCTTGCTGAACGTTAATGGAGAGTTAGTGTACGGTGACCTCCTTTATAATGGAAACGCTCTTCGCTGATGGCCCTATAGCGTTTTCATTGTCTGAACTACAGCCCGTCTGTGTTGACCCGGCCTTAGTCTCTCACCCTCTGTGTGCATTGGAAAAACAGTGTCACCAATTTTACGTTAAACTTAACACATTAGCTCTGCTTGAGTTACATTCATGTAACCACCAGTATTTTCAATTAAATATTTCTGCAGTTATTGATAGCAGCTAGCATTCACTCTGGTCGTTGCTGGATCGAGTGTTAATGTTGTCTGGTGAAATAAGGCTTCCTTCCCTGTTCAGAGAGAATTAAGGACCAGTTCCATTCAATATCATAAGATAAATAAAGAATTATCTGCTCTCCTACTTTGGCTGTGCTAATGCAAGTGCTTCCACATGACCAAGTAATGATGATTTATTGAAGGAGAACTGGTTTAGAAAGCTTGTTCTCTTCCAGATCCTCCAGTATTTATATCTATATGATTCTGCAAAAACTGCCCAGTACAGTGCTGCTCGAGGACTTCCCTATCTACATTTTCCCAGAAGTTGCAGGTGCTCTCCAACCTAACTTCTCATACTTTTCTGCGGCCACTGTACCGTATAGCCTGTGTGATCTGTTTGCAGGTATGTGTTTTTACCCTCCATACTGCATCCCGGTCCCATGCAGGGTTGAAAATCTTGAGTGTGGGGGCACGGCACACTGAGGTCCAGCTGGGCCTTCAGCATCCTCTGCCTCATCCTGCGGCCTTTTTCACACGTAGCGCTGCTACACGCTGACCAGGGAGACCAGCCTGAGTAGATACATGTCTCCGGTGTGTCATCTAAGAGAGAAACACGTCAGGTGATTAGTGTTGAGTTACTGAAGAAAGAGGCATTTTAATATCTTTGCAAAAATCTTCTGCTCATTTAATGATTGACTGGGATCACATGGTCGTTGTTTAATTTGCTTTTACAAAATTTCTTTTCCAGTTTCATTCCACTGAAGCAGCTGAACTGATTTGCACAGCAAAGAGGATGAGGAATGGGGGACTGGGCTGACATTGATTATTTAACATTGTATCCAAAGGTGATTACTACAGGTACTGGACCATAAAAGGCCACAAAGTGACATCTGAGAGGGAGAGGAAGGAGCAGAGGGACAGAGTTGGAGAGAAAGAGAAGAGTGTGATTTGTGAATGTCTTGTCCAATTATCAGTTACAGCAGAGCTACAAGAAGTAGCAGGGGTACTGGCTTCAATTAATGATGTTCTCTCTTGGGTGCAGAGAGGCAGAGAAAATGAGAGGAGAGGCCAGAGAGAATATACTGTCAGGCCTCAGGGACAGACCTGAGTGGGTCCTCCTGTCTGGCATAACATGTAATGACAGAGGAGACCGAGGGAAGAAAGGAGCTGGAGATGCAGAGAGGATGGTTAAGAGGAGAGTTGATGTGTAAGTGAAACAGCGATGCTCCGGGCTGACCAAGGGGACCAGCCTGAATGGATACTCGTCTCTTTAGTGTCATCTCACACAGAGAAGAGGGGAAACAAGGGAGAAAGAGAGGACAGGTAGAGTAAGAGAGGAGGAAAACGGAGGAGGGAAAGAAGCAAATGGTCTATGACTGACTGAGGAGGACATTTATTATGCAGCAGGAGATTCTTGTTAAGAATTCTGCTGCGTGGGCAAAATCCTGCACCCAACCCAAGGCCACTTACAGTGAAAGTAGGCACAAAGCACCCATGTACAACACAAACACCGTCACGCACCTGTCTGTCTTGTTCAGCCCTTGTGAGGGTTAAAAAGGAGGCAATAAGGACAGCTCATCTTGGAAATATAAGGTCACAGCACTGATCCCTGTAACGATGCCAGGGCTCAGACTACCAATTGCCAAATACAGAAGTCATAAGGAGAAGGTTCGATTGGGTGGTCTAGTGTGGTGAAACACACCTACACTTTTTTGAAAGATCTTGTTTTAGTACTGAAAAAGTCAACATATTCTGTCTTATATTCTGTCGTATATTTAATCTTTCCCTAACCTTAAAGGGATAATAAAGTATGAAGCTGAAGCCAGGAGGCAGTTAACTAAACTTGGCAGAAAAACTGGAAGTAACAGCTTGCCTGACTGTTCAAAGATTAAAAAAAAATATATATATACACTAATTAACATGCTTCCTGTCTTTATGCTAAGCTAAGCTAATTGACCACTGGCTCAAACTACAGTTTATACTTTCCTCGCAATCTTTTTGTACTTACTCTCTTCGAGACTTTTGTTTCCCAAAATGTATAACTACTCCTTTAACCAAGAGATGTGACTTTCTTAAACATGCTTAAATCATGCTTTAGTTGACATGTGTAGATACTCTAGATACATTCAATATGAAGTCTTATGTTTATATAAAAAAAACAGTTTATTTGTATGTAATTTTTAGGAGAAATAACCCAGAACTTTCCATCTTTCATTGTGGATCTTTACAGTATAACAAATAAAACAAAACACAGATTTCATGTTTAGTACTGCTGAAACATAATTGTCCAGAATGACAGGATCTGTGATGCATCACAGAATACAAAGTGTTTGATAAGGAGAGACGCAGTTGTGTTGCTGTGCAGCAGTGGGGCGCCCACCTTCTCACAGCAGAGGGGAAACAAAGCCCTGCCAGATGTGCATTCTGACCATCTGACCTGAGCCCGTCTGAGCCTCTGCCTAAACCAGTTGTGTCTGTAATGAGCTAGGTGTGTGTCCCTGAACATCTTAAGACACTGAAGACCTACAGTCTCCTGCAGTGAGTATTTTGCAAACACAGAATGAATTGAGGAAACAGTCAGGTTCAAAGGACATTAAGGAATGCAATATCATGTAATGCCAGGGTTTACATAATTGTTAAAAAACTCCATCAAGACGTTTAAGTTAATCTATTGTATCTTGTTTGTGGTCTTTCCCTGAAGAACTGTAATCAGTGAAGAGTGTGTGTGTGTGTGTGTGTGTGTGTGTGTGTGTGTGTGTGCGCATTTACTGCACCTTCCTCCTTCTCCTCCTGTCCAATATCAGCTACGATGTCGTCTATGGTGTCAGGGACCACATTACATTGCTCTCCCTGCACACACAAGGAAGAATGGGGTCACACACTAACACACACACAAAAATGTATTCACAGCTTCTTTCAAGATGAAACAATCTGTGGAAAGTATTATTACAATGTTATCTGTTATCACCACTTGCTGCGTATGTAACAGCGATATTTCATAAGTGTGTGTATTGTGTTACCATGGTTACAGTCGGGTGGAACAACTTGAGGAAAAGATTTACAGTAAATGCCATTTTTACTGACCAATTTAATTTGCAATTATTTAGGTAACCTCCAGGCCTGTATTTGTGTACTATATAGTTTACATAATCACAAAGTTATCTTGCTTCAACATGAAAACGTTAGGATACAATAGCACAAACCTTTCTAGCAATGCGTTCCACTACCACTTTGGCTACGGGTGTAATTGCCCCTCCCTCTGGGTCGTAGAACGGGCTCTGGGGGTGGTCCAAACTGGTCAAGGGCCGGATCTTCTCCTGAGGAACGGTGGGCTTGTTTGGTGACTGGAAGAGGCAGAAATGAGAGGGTAAGTGAGCAAATTACATATAAAGTACAGTATTCAACAGTTAAAGCTGCTTTAATCAACATGTTGATATTAGCGATGGATCAAATGACTGTGTGTCAGGTGAAAGGTGTTGCTCGTAGTGACGATAATACCACAAATAATTACCATTCGACTCTGCACTTAGTAATTAACTGGTGAACATAGAAGAGCATTTAGCTGCTAAAGCAATATTTCCCACTGGAGTTTTTGGGAATAATAATTTGTTTTATGCTTGTCAAGCAGATGCTAATGCTGGTCCATGTCTGCTTGATGTGAAAAAAAAAAAGCCACTGTTTGCCAACACAGTCAGCTTTATACTGTAAGGTGATAATAAGCCAAAGTTTGCTGGCTGCGTTTTCCCCAGGTGGCCTACAAAATCTTTGAATGCAGCTTAAGTATCTTATATTTGAAAGAGCTGATGCCTCTGGAACTCTTTGAGCCGCCCACCCCCCACAATGACCTTCCTGGAAAGAAATCACATCTGTGAGCAAAATAAGACATTTATTTAACAGAAGCCGCACCTGGAGCCACATCAGGTGTCATCTCCCTGTGCTTCAGCTAACAACGTGAATCTAAAGGTGAATTAGCTCTGATGGCTCTTTAAAAATCAGGAGAAAATGGACGTGCGCAAATAAGATGCTACGGGTGAAGATCAGGTCATGATTTAAAGGGGAACTACCGCTCCCCCCTCCCCTCCCGCATTAGCATTGTGCAAATCATACACTTGGTGTCGGAATGGCTGGTGTCCTTGAGGAAAACATCTGCTCTTTTATATTGAGTATCAAATACGCCTGAGGGAAAAGAGTCTGAGTCTGAGTTCCACTGAGGAATGGTTAGAGTAATCAAAGATAAACAGCCAGAATTTAGGGCATGGGAATTCGTGGGACAAGAATAATAATCCAATAGCAGCATATAGTGTCTGCACATCTAAGACACAGGCTTTTAAAAACAACATGGTTTCTCTTGAGGGAAGGAACAGAGCAGCAGTAATTTATGCATGCAAACCAGAATTAATAAAAAGTAATAACACTACAATAGCTGCAATGATTGTATACTGCACTGTGACCAAAACAGTCACCTACAGTCGCTGCTTCTCGGATAAGCCATCTGGTCCGAGGCCTATTTTCTGTTTGATCTCACTATGCATCATTTATATATCCATTTTAACACCCTTTTAATAAGAGATTCATGGCGTTGTTTCCAGGCGTGTGTGGTAGCATGTGTGTCCATGAGCTTAAAAGATAAAAACACATGACAAACATGAATCATTCTCTTTGTTCTTACAGGTTTACTCAACATTGTCGTTTCAAGTTTCATACCAACTTTCAGTTTAATATATGCAGGAGTGCTGAATAAGACAAAGGGAAGACATCTACATAGGAAGTATTAGAGGAGGAAGTTACACCCTCATTTACAGTGCAGTAGCAACGATGGTGACGATTCTCTTTGTAGTTACAAGTGAAAGTTTCTTATCTTACATTTCAGTTAAAAGATCTCATGTGGAATGAGACCAAACAGAAGACATCCATCACTTTTGGGAAACAATTAGAAACTCCAAATTTACTTGTAATGTTGGCAAACAGAAGGAAACTATAGCGTCTTTGCTTTTCACACAGTGCAAAGATGAACAAGCAGAGGGTCTGGAAGACATGTACTTCCATGTGTCTGTCTGTAGGTGGCAGCGATTTAATGTCTGCTGTACAGTAGGATGCGGTCAATATCTGACGGTAAAATTGAACAATTATACATTGTGTTTTCGGGGTAACACTTTCCAGGATAAGAGGCTTAGAAGCATACATTATCAGCTTGGAAACTATTTTTTAAAAGGACCAGGACCAAAGAAACCTATGTCTACACAGTGCAGAGTTACATCGTAGTGTTAAATTCTACATTCTATTCACAATTCACATACATCCAGCACACTACACATGAAACAACTGCTCACAAATCTGGGTGCGTCTGTGGGTAAGAGGGCTAAGGAGACCAAATAATGACACTGATAAAAGGCTAAAAACTAGGCCCATAACAGACAAGAATGAATCCATATTTAAAAAGTACCAGAAGCCAAAATGAAAGAAGTGAAATTTTCATACGGAATTTACCTCCCCTCAGCAGGATAAACTCCACGCTTATTCATGAGGTTGTAAACTATAAATAAACTGCGTTAGTCTCCAAACACTGGGTGCATATGGATGAGCACTATTCATTCCAAGCATGTAGAAAACTAAAAAGGTTTGTCACAGTGACGGATGGAAGTCAAGAGTGCTGTGATGTGAAGGTTTGAAATTAATGCGTTAACTGTCAGCTTTCACTAGAGCAACAGTGGTATCTCTAGCAAGTGGACTGCATCAGTACAGCTTTAAATAAGACACAGTTAAGATATGTGTCCAATGTGTCACAGTACGGTACTGTATTTATTGTAACACGCCCTCAATGGCCACTTTGAAGGTTTTAACTTTTTATGGCAAATTGTGGCCAACAAGCTTTGTAACTAATATTCAGTAGCTGGTCAGCTAAACAGCACATTATTATGCTCTACAAACATCTAACTCTGGTATTGAATTGATCTAATTTGTTTTTAGGAAACATCAAATTAGCAACAGCTGCTTTGGCTAGTAATTAGCTAACAAAGACGACTCTTTATGGAGATTGACTAGGCTGCGCTTTCTCAAGCTAATATCAGTTTAGAGTGACAGCACCGACTAGACAATAAAATGATAGTATAACACTATTGTAATGTTATATGCACATTTTTTTATATCCTAGCTTATTTTTAGGCCATTGGGCCACCAGGACACCACATTGTTAGAATTAAATTACTTTCCAGTGGTCCTCCATGATACATCTGAACTAACCACTAAGATTAGGATACATTACCTCATATGTGACACCACTGTCAGTGCCTGCATCCCAGGGAATGAGGTCTGTCACCAGCCTTTGGACCCAGCCACACTCTTTGGTACAGAGGTCCTCTCCTGACAGCCCCACATTCCAGTCTGGGCTGGGCCCAAGCATGGTCAGGAAGGACATCAGGTGACGGGTCCGGTCCACAGAAAACTCTGCTGATGGAGCTGCTCGCCTGGTGATGGGAAACAAACAAAGAACATATCCAAATAAATAAATTCCACTGCAAATATTACGTAAATGAGACAGCCATAATTATGTTTGGAACATTATCATCTCAGGGGAAACATTTTCCTACATCATAACAATTTCTAGTTAATTACTTGCAAAATGGCCTGTTCCGATGTCATGACCTCTGACTTGAGTCACACTCTGGTAATTGCCGGATAATGGAAACTCCGAAATACCCAATTAGAGGCAGACCACAGCTCATAATGACATATTGTCTCAAAACCTACTGAAAACAATCAAATATTCTGAAGATGATACTATTGGGGTAATTTGAAATTTCTTCATGAAAAACAGGTCTTTGTATCTTACTTTTTTGTGTCACAACCTAGACGTAAGTGCAAACACAACTATTTTAGAACAACTTGACAACTTTGCATGCAAAATTAAACAAAATGAACTAATATTTCATACTCAGTGAGTGCGTGACTGTGTGGGAGAGTATGCATGTGTGTGAATGTTCTCATTAGTAAAAATAATAGTGGCACAATATATCGCAAATGACAGACAACGCTAGGAGGGGGTAATTAAGCAGATGTTTGGTGAAAGATACAGTACATTAGTGTGTGTGTGTGTGTGTGTGTGTGTGTGTGCGTTCTCATGCAGTGCTGAGGGCTACAATTGTGATAAGTTTCTAATTGCTCTTGAACTAATTCCAAAGAGTTCACAGGATGCCAGAGTGTGTGACTATTCAAACAAGTCGGTCTTGCTTTTCAGAGCCGCATAAAGGAAGGAAGCATGAAACAATTAAGAATACGTTTTTCTAAAATGCACAATACAATAGTATCTTAATTTCATTTAGAATTTATACTTTCCAGAGTCTGTCAGAAATGAACTCCCCCCCCCCAACTTTTAAGTACTTATCCTGCTAATTAAGAATCTGATACCGCCTACAATAAGATTAGGTCTTTGTGATTCATGGATTAGTAGCATTATCAAAGCTTACTGTAACAAAGAAATGAATATGTGTCTCAAATTGTTTCTGTTGCTCAGCCAGCATGTCATGTAGAACGGATCACTGAACAACAGTTTGTATATCTTTGTTTCCTACATGCCAAACAGATAATGTTCTGTTATGTTTTAATCTAGGCTTGAAGGAATGCTCAGGCAACTTCTGAACAGAAACAAGTAACATATGTTCTGTGGGCCTCCAAAATGCAAACTTTTCTTGAACAGAAAAAAAAAAATTGCCTTGTTTTCAGCTTGACCACCAGCCTGGAAGAAAAGCATGTAATCTTCAACTGAAGCTAAGGCAGCAAAATAGGATGTTTTCATCCAGACAACATGATGAATAAATGATCATGAGACCCAAGCGCTCCAGTGTGAACAACATGTTAATGGTCAACTTGATGGCAGATGTAATACCTCCATTGGTCAGAGAGAAAGGACTTAAAAAACAAAATGAAACCTAAATTCTCCTCACATTTTGTGTAAGTAAATATATATTTTTGTAGGTATTTGTGGAAACAGTGTCTATGCTTCATGCCTCTGGGTGGGCGTGACTATTGGCAGGGCCAATGGCCTTAAAAATAGATGATAAATAGATGATAAAAAATGTTTATGTAACATGCCATAGTCCTGTATAGCCTAACATCTATTTTTCCACATATTGCTAGATATGTTACCATTAGCGAT